TACTCAATACCCTCCCCTTTTTCTTTCTCCTCTGAATACCTGGTTCTCAGGAAGGAGTCTCTAACGGTTGCAGGGATGCTCTGTCTCCTACCCCCTCAAGGGCCTTGCTGCCATTCATTTCCTATCCCCAACCAGGATAATCTCAAAATCCAAAGAAAATGATGAGTAGAAACACCTCACAAATACCCTGAAGACCCCCTACTCCAAAACAGGGAACCACTGTCCCAAGGGCCCTGACCTCCACATTACGTGAACTTTCTCTGCCTTTCCCAAATGCTCTATGCTAACTAGAAGTCATCCTGCAAATAGCATCTTTGGGATACTGTTCCCAGAAACTGTCCTCATTTCTCATGCCTCAATACCTAGGGCTGGCTCAGATGCCTTCACCAATCTCTGTTCCCTCCCTTCCTAAAGAGAAAAGTAGGAGTTACAAGCCTCAGTGTCCTGCATGTTACTGAATTAAGTCTGGAGCTAGAGATTAATGGGGATAAAAGGACCCCCAGTTGTTCAGAGACTTGAATCACAAGTAATTACTTACTCTTTCACTGAAAAAGTTCATACATGAGCGCTGACTGCTGTCCTCTGTTAGTGCTAAGAGCCACAAACATCATAGTTTAATTTGCATGCTCTCCACACAGATAATGTTTGGCCTATGGCACAGGTGGGTATTAGGCCTGGCTCCAAATGCTATGACTTGAAGGGGACTACACTGGATTCAGAGGGGGACCATAGCAAGATGGACTGTTGGAGGTAAATCACAAGGGACAGTGGTGACACAAGGGATCACCCAGCTTGTCCTAGTGTCCCAACTCCATCAGTCTCCTCAAACTCTTCAGTGTTGCTCATGCCACCTCCACAAAGCCAACACAAGCTTGGCACAGCTTTGCCTAGAAGCATCCAGAAACAAATGTGAAATCTCCTTTTAGTAGAGGTAATGCCCTCGAACACTCCTGGGGTCAGCAAACAAGGCCCCTGGGTCCTCTCCAGGCTACAGTGCTGAGCTGGGGGTTCTTGTCCAGGGCACAGTCCAGTAGCAGGGGATCACTGACACTCAGACTAACACTCATGCCTGCCAAGTCCCAGTCCACGGAAGAGAAAGGAGAGCAGACTAATGCAATTAGCCCGGCAAATGGGAACTTGTCAAGCCATTTAGATAACACAGTACTTGGATTTATTCAGTTCCCATTACTGGAGGGTCATTGTGCTTCCACCCCCTGCTGATTCTGGGGGCCGAACAGCATTTTCCTCGCAAGGATGCAAGAAAAAACGGTGATTTCTCAGCCAACAAATTCCAGGGCTCTGTGGTTAAATCAGCATGCATCATACATCAAGCCACGGGTAATTTGACTTTAGGAATCTAGAGACACACCCTGTTGAGTGACTTTGTCACAGAATCTGAAACTCAGTGATGAATTCTGAAAAAATTCAAGTATCCAATTAATAAAAAAATAAACTAAGATTCCTTATCCAATTCAATCTTCCTTATACTTCTTAGCAACTGATCACATATTTGCCTTGCTAATGGTTTTGTTTCAGTTACTGAGCTGTGAGCATCTCAAGAGTCCATGTGGAATCTTACTCTTATATCTTCTTCCTGTGCCTAGCACAGTGCAGAACACAAAAAAGAAACTCAGTTAAGGCTCAATTAACTGATTGCTTCTTGCTTTTGCAATATTTTTCCCTGTAGGGAAGCAAAGCCACTCTACCCGCCTCATATAATCAACAGCACAACTCCTTCCTTCCTTGGCCCCCACCCCTCACCAACTAACATCAACAACAGGCTCTTCACAGTGAATGAGCCTGGTGAGTCCAGTGGATCACACAACACAACAAAGCTACAGATGGAGCTTCAAGGTTGGTAAATTATTGTCCTGTTTTAAAATCTGAGCATATCTGTATGTTTCCTAGGACTGCCATAACAAATTACCCCAAATTTAGTGGCTTAAAACAATGGTTTGTTCTTTCACAGTTTTGAGGGCCAGAAGTCCAAAATCAAAGTGTCAGAGGGGTTGGTGCCTTCTGTAGGCTGTGAGGGACAATCTGTCCCATGCCTGTCTCCTGCTAGTTTCTGGTTCCTCCCAGTGTTTCAGCTTATAGCTACATAATTCTAATCTTAGCCTCCGCCTTCACATGCTCTTCCTGTGTCTTTGTGTCAAACTTCCATCTTCTTTCTCTTATAAGGAGACTGGTCATCTGACCTAGGGCCCACCCTAAATCCAAGATTAGCTTATCATGAGACCCTTAACTTAATTACACCTTATTTGGAAATAAGGTCACATTCACAGGTACTGGGGTTAAGATTTAGATACATCTAGTTTGGGGAATCCTATTCAATCCATTACAATATCCAAAACCAGGACACATCATCTTTACCACAAAGCCCTCTCCTTTTCCCAATGCTCTCCTTCATATTAATAGACTCATTTCCCAGTGAGGCCCAGGCTGAACTCTTCAGGTCATCTTCAAGGGTTCTCACCCTGTTGCTCCCCAACTCCAATCAGCTCCATAATCTACAGTAATGAAGTTGGATCAATTCTATGCAACAGAGCTGCTCAAGCCTGTCTCCTCCCTGCCATGCTGGCTGCCTGACCACCCTGGCCCCAGCTTGGATCACCTGTTTTGAACCAGGTCATGACTTCCTCTTTTCTGTTCTCCCAGCTTCCTTTTCTGACCCTACCATCTGTTGATGTCTTAAACAGAGCTCAGCCATGCCACAACCATGTCCACAAACTTTCAGTGGCCTCTAACCAAGTGAAGCCCAATCTCTTTATAGCCCAGCACCTGGGTCTACTAGAATGAGTCTCAAACCTTCTCCCAGAATTATTTTCCACTGTTCCCTTCCATTTAGTCCAGGCTTTGGTCGAAGTAAATCACTGACTGTTCTTAAATACATCCTCAAAGACCTCTAAGTCTTTAGGTCCCTCTGCCTGGGATTTATTGATTAATCCAACAAACTTTTGCCTTAACTATGTCTCCTTATCAATATCTCACACAGAACAGCTCAACTCAAAAGACAACTCATTTGTAAGCCTTTGTCCAGTTTTATCAGCCACGATGGCTTCCCCCTTCTTTTGACGTCCAACAGCCTGACAGACAGACAAGGCATTCTTGTTCCCTCCCCCCCATCAGAGACTTGAACACTTGTCATCAGCCTCATGACAGAATCTGGACAGAATTCTGCTTTACTCGTGTACTTCCCCCATAACCTCGCACAGTGCCTTCATACAACATGGGCTTAGAAATATCTGATCGATAAAATATACATCAAGTAAGTAAATAATACCGTCCTTGTCTGCACTCAGTTTACATTTGGGGAAGGGGAAGATGAAATAAGCACAAAACTGAGTAAGGACGACCCATATCATCATATTGTGAGCATCGTAAGAGACGTATAAGTGGAGTTCTGTGGGAAGAACAGAGCAGAAAGCTTTTGAAAGGGGTGAAAGCTTCCTACAGGAGGTAAAACTTAAGCTAGATCTTGAGAGATAAACACTATTTTGATGAGCAAAAGGTGGGGGGTCAGGGAAGAGAAAATACAGAAGAAACAGCATCTGCAAGAGACACAGAGCCAAGGGAAAGCAAATGGTATTTCCCAGGCTCCATGAAGAGCAGAGGTTTCTGGCCCACTGACTGTGTGAACGGTGATTACAGAAGGCAAGGCTAAAGAGGCAGGTCAGCATCTCGTATGCTATGCCAAAGAATTTTAAATTGACTCTGTAGGCTCCGGCAGGGTGGTTCAGTTGGTTGAAGTATCCTCCCATGCACCAAGAGGCTGAGGGTTAGATTCGCGGTCAGGGTACATGACAAGGTTGTGGGTTCAATCCTTGGTCAGGGGGGTATGGAGGCAAGCAATGGATATTTCTCTCTCACACTGATGTTTCTCTCTCCTTCTTCCTCTCTCTCTAAAAATCAATAAAAATATATCCTCAAGTGAGGATTTAAAACAATCCATTTAAAAAATAAAAATAAAATTGACTCTTTAGGAGATAGGAGTCATGGAAGGCTTTCAAACAGGTGTGATATGGTCACATCTGCATTTTCAGATGATCACTTCCATGGTATCACAGAAACTAAAACTGGATATGCATCAGAATCATCTGGAAAGACTCAAACTTGCTTAATATGGAGAGAAAAAGCACAAATAACAATATGACAATTCTCCATTTGTAACAAAGTCATGTTGATGTTTTGCCATTTGGGCTTTAGAATGTTTAAGAGAAATAAACCACGCCTGCCCTTGACTGTTCCCTTCCCCAAAATAAACACATCTCTTTGGTGAGTATCTTTATAACCCATGTTTATACAGAGAAAGAAATATGTAAGTATATGTATGTATCCATAACAACTTTATAGCATTACTATTTTGTGTTTAAATTATATAAATGATACACTTGTGAATATTGTTCTAAATCTGCTTTACTCACTGTGAAGCATCTTTAACAGCTCAGATTCCTGCATCCCACCCAGATCTAATTAATCACAATCCCTGAGTGGAAGCGTTTAGAAATATGCTGTGCTTTTTTAAAATGCCATTTCATTTTGATGTCACTAGATCTACATTTGGGAGTCAGTGGTGCAGAAGATGGACTAGAGAGAAGATAAAGCAGAGACAGGAAGAGCAGTAAGGACGTTTTACAATAATTCAAGCAAGAGGTGGTGAGGCCCTAACAGAGGGTAGTAGTAATGGAAATTAAAGATGGGGGACAGCTTCTGAGGCCCTGTGAGGATAAAAGCAATAGAACTTTGTAACTAATTGGATTCTGGGGTGAGAAAAAGTAGTAGCTAAGAAATGGCCCTAAGGATGTTAACTTGAGTGAGCTGGAGGACAGGGACACCATTAACAAAAATGGAAAGCATGGGAGGAAAAACGGGCTATGAGAGATGAAATTGATTTGGTTTTAGACATGTGATTTTGAGGTTTCAGCAGGATCTCTGTGTAAGTATCCCCAACAGGCATTTATACGTGCTGGACGAGATCAAGGGAGAAGGTCCGGACTCACCAAGTAGATCCAGGATCCCCCACTTAAAGCGAACACTGTGCACATGGACATGGATATGTCTGTTTCAGAAGAGGGAGAAGAGGGCCCAGGGCAGGTCCTTGAGGGTCATACATCTAGGGGAGGGCAGGCGAACAGGAGCAGGCTCTGGAGTGGCCAGAAGCAGGAGGGCCACTGGGATCAGGAAGCCACCAGAAGGATCAAGGGTCAGGAATCCACAGTGACCAGAGTGTGACACTGAAGAGAAAGACCAAAAGACGTCATTAAATTGGAGAATCGGGGACCTTTCAAAGGATATCAGCAATTATGGAAGGAGAAGTCAGAGGGTGGCATCGGTTAAAAACACCGGAAGCAGCAACATTAAACTACTCTTCAGTGTTGAAATGTGACGTCAAAAGGAACGATTACAGCCCTGGCCGGTGGCTCAGCTGATTGAAGCTTTGTCTTGCGCACCGAAAAGTTGTGGGTTTGATCCCCGGTCGGGGTGCATACAGGAGGCAACCAATTGATGTTTCTCTCTCACATCATTGTGTGTCTCTCTCTCCCTTCCTCTCTAAAATTAATGAAAATATATCCTCAGGTGAGGATTTAAAAAAAAAAAAAAAAAAAAAAAAAGAATGGTTACAAAATAGTCTAGGGAACGTAAAGTACACCAGAGGGAATATAGTCAATGATATTGTAAAGCTATGTGTGGTGTCACATGGGTACTCAACTTATCTGGGGGATCACTTCATAAGTTATATAAATGTCTAACCACGCTGTTGCACACCTGAAACTAATACAGTATTGAATGCCAACTGTAATTGGAAAAAATTAAAAAGAATGGTTGAGGTATAATTATTTTAGGGTTTAGAACAGGAGAGTTGAACATGTAGAATGTAGGAAAGGAACCACAGGTAGAGAAGCTGAGAAAAAATGAAAAAATAAAAATAAATGAATTATGAAGGTCCTGAAGAAATAAGAGAAAACTGGACCAGGAAATAGGAAGACTTCCTGGTAAAAACAGCAGACCAACAACACATTTCTGCCCCCTCCCTTCCCAAATCCCTACTAAGACTATTAAGTAGTTAGAACTATTAAATTGTAAAACTATTACCTTTTTCTGTACTAGGATAAAGAGGGCTAACAAGAGATAACAGCAGAGGAGAGATTTTGGAAAATATAAAGCAGAAGGACAAATGGTAACTTAGCTTAGGATATTCTTTGCTTTCCAACAGCTTGCAAAGTAGGATCCCAACAAGAGCAAACTAACTTGTTCTGTAGAATCCCTGAGGGGCTGGGTGCCTGAGGGTTTCAGGACACAACAGGGCAGGGATGGATCTTGACAGCAGAGAGATTACTTACTTAACAGCAGATAGAGCAAGTTATACCCAGAGGCTCTCCTCAACCCAGTGTAGCAGGGCATCTGATCCTACAGAAGATGAGGGCTTTGTCCTCTGAAAAAATTTCACAAGAGGATTCTCTGAATTCAAAGGCATCCAGCACCGTGGACCAGTGGGATGAAGTGTAAAACTGAACAGCAGCATCCAGCTACGGAACCACGTCACTTCTCCCTCCCCATTGTCCCTCACACCTGCCTCCCTCCTCTCTCCACCAGGAGACTGGACAATCCTCCAGGAAAACTAAGTATCCCAGACAAATGCCCATATATGCTCACTATCCTTCACCTACAGGAAAGCCCCACCTGTTCTCACTGAACTTACAGCCGAGCACAGCCAAGGATCAGACATCTGAGGAAAGCTTCCTACACAGGAGAGTGGAGCCAACAAAACAGATAAAGTCAAGGAACTCCGAGGCAATACAGAAGCCGAAGAGTTTACGGCAATCTAGAGGCTATCCACAATGGCCAGAGAGATATTTCATTTGGTCAGCACCATTACTTTAAAAATAAAAAAATCCACATAATAATCTGTATTTTTAACTTGTCCTGAAAAATCAAAAGATCTGGCAAGTCCAGACTCACATGGTAACCACATGTCTGCAGCCAAGAGCGAGAGCAAGAAAGAAATCGGCCAAGAGTGTGTGAGCCTGGACATTCTTCTGAGGAGAGGGTTCAGAGCTATTACTGGATTCACAAAAGGATCCATGACCCAGAAAGAGGTTAAGAGCCTTGAAACAGCCACTCTCTCTTCCTGTCCCGACAGTTTATCATCCTCTAAGTGTTTTGCCCTCTGCTCCTTCCACATCTATAGTTTGGCCAAGATCCATGTTTCACTCCTTTAATCTCTTTTCAGTCACTCCCTCCGGCCCTTCATCACCTTTATGACTCTTTTCTAAAGTCCTCCAATTTGTCCAAATCTCAGTGAATTTCTCTGGGAAGATGTAATGCACTTTAGAATTACTAAGCAAGAGTGCACCTAAAAGCTTTTAGAAGGAATGCCCAAAGTTTGACATGTTAAATCCACTTCTCCCGTGCGGCTGCCCAGTTCAGAAAGGAAAAAATGCAGAGCACTGCAGGAAATGGGAGGAACTGGAGTCCTGCATCTAGATATTCCCTATTATTTCTTGTGCATTGACTCTATACAGATCAACAGGTAAAGAGAGGTCTGCCCTTGCAGCCATCTGAAATACCCTGGAGTAAAGAGAAAGAATCGAAACTACCCACAGCTCAGAACACATGACTACTGCCATCTCTGACTTGATTACGAAAAAATAAAAATAAACACACACACACACACACACTGCTTCTATGTATAAATTTGTAATCAGCCAAGACTGCTCGGCCCAATCCCAAGGCTTCTTGCAGTCACATTGAAGCATCAGACAACCTGCCCTGACTGGAGGTAATCACAATCCATACATAAATTCCTGCCAAATCAGAATAAATTTAAATTGCCCTCAGAGCTTTTAAAGAGACAGAAAAGCTTGCCTTTCCGAGATACTTTCTCCTGGATTAATGAGTTGGATACCTCTGTTTTCCAGAAGCCAAACGTAACTTGGCAGTTGGATTAATAAAAGTTCTTTCTCAAACCGCGTCACTGTAGGGTTTTTCCTTTGTAAGGTGTTTTGTTTTGAATGTGCAGAGCTTTGGGCCACACAACTCTCCCCAAGCTCCCAGAACCAGAGCAGGAGTACTGGGGCTTAGAGAACAGTAGGAAACACTGAGGACCTGGGGTTGGCATCCTCCTGGGCAGAGTCCTGGCCCAGGCTGTGTGGGAGAAGCCCTTCACCCAACCATCTTCCAGCATCACCATTTGTGGGATGGGACCTCAGGAGGAAGCCTGTATTCTACATTCAGTTCTAGAACTCCTTATGGGCAACTCGAGTTTCTTGCCCTACCTGACAATGCTGCTAAGAAACCTTAATAGATAATAGTCTAGAAAAAGCTCTGCAGCATTTGAAAAATGTCCCAGGGCCAACAGATGAGTATGAGGGCCCCCCATGACCACCAGCCCCAAAGCCTCTAATGCCTCTTTTTGCTACGTCAGGGATTTTCCTGGAGTTGCTTTTTCTTCACCTACCCCAGCCTGGGGTTGTTAACATTTGGGTTTCACAGGAAGGGCTGCAGCAGCCAGAGTCCTGGCATGACAGCCTGAAGCTGAGAGGGTCTTCACTACCTGGGTCCTCTCCCCGGGGCCTTCCAAATTGTCTCTATTACAACACTTCTCTACTTACATCCCTCCAAAAAGTTTCCATTGAGCCTCAGAGAAAGGCGAAACCCCGCCTGGCTGGCGTCCCCACCTCCTTTCCCTGGGCTCTGTCTGTCAGGTGACACTGGCCTTCTCTCATATTTGCCGTGCCCACCACACAGCCTACGGATGTGGTAGCCCCAACCTAGAAGGATCTCCCCGCTCTCCCTCTTGTGCCTATCTCCCACCTGTCCTTTGCGTTTCAGCTCACAGAGCCGCTGTGCCTGGAAAGCCTTCTGCATCCTATCTGTCTAACGTCACTCCACCTAACGAAGGCTCTCGGGCGGTCTACTTATCCCAGGAGCGCTGACCACGGTGCAGCTGTGCGCTTGCTGGTGCGACCGCGTGGTCAGTACCTGTCTCCCACGCTGGAGTCTCAGCTCTGCGAGGGGAGACACCGCACTGGGCCCGTTCACCCCCTGCATCAGCACTGGTGCGGCCTCGGGGCTTCGTGAATGTCGGGAGGATGCACTGAGGAAGGATGGGCACACAGCCTCAGTGGGACTGTCCTCCCACCCTGTTCTCTCGCGTCTTCACCTTTGCTCTTGTGTTTCTTCCCCTGAGAAGGCCCTCGAAGCGTGGGTCCCAGCTCCCTGGGCAGTCCTGAGGGGTGCAGGATGCCAGCCTGGAGTGCGGTAGAGTGGGCACGTCCTGGGATACAGCTTCGCCAAGGTGGAAAGGAGGTGGGAGTGAGGCCGCCAGGTAAACCCGCCCTCCTTTCTGTGCCCGAGGAACTGTTTCAAGGTGTGGCCCCCGCTCTCCTGGAGACAGATGTGGCCCTTCTCAGCTGGGGAATGGCANCTGGAGACAGATGCAGCCCTTCTCAGCTGGGGAATGGCGCTGGCTCAGGAAAGCGACCTGACCTGTCCTCCCCCATCCCGCTTCTCATCTTCCTCGCCCTCACCATCCTGGGCGTCTTCTTCCAAATAAATTTTTTACACCTTAATCCTCTCTCAGACCCTGTGGTTCGGAGCATCCAGGCTGATGTCCCGTGATGTCCCTGCAGAGAAAGTGCACCTACGGCCCAATGCACAGGACTTTGAGAGGAACGTCCCGCTATATGTCGGAGAGCTACTGGCCTGGACTAAAGGGAACTCACAATCCCTCTACTTAATTCTGAGCTGGTCAAACCCCACCATCAGCAGTACTGATTTGAGTTTTGAGATACCCACTTTAAAACTGAATTTCTCAACATTTTTGAACGATGGACCACTTAGAGAATCTGAACCCTCCTTCCAGAAAAATGCACATGTGCCTCGGCTTGCTCTCAGTTGAGGGGTTCTCAAAGCCCTGAGGCCTATCCGTTGATTTCATGTTAAGAAACCCTGCTTTAGAGAAACAGACACAGAGAGGAACACAATGCATGGACAGTCACAGGAGAGCAACAGGGGCCACATTTTATACGGAGCAGGTGAAGGAGCGACTAACTCTTAAGGGGAAAAACAAGGATGGAAGATATAAAGGCTGGTGTATCTGAAGAGGAAAGAGATGTTTGTTCCTGTAGGATCTCCTTTCCTAGGGGTGTCGTCTCTGATTTCCCCAGGCAGATTTGGCTGTCCTTCCTCTGTGTTCCTGTAGCCCATGAGTATGTTGCAATTCAAACTCATA